GGTCAGGACAGGGATGTCCCTGCTCCAGGGCTGGGGTCAGGACAGGGATGTCCCTGCTCCAGCCCCTCTCTGGCCCTGGTGGACTCTCCCATCCCACTGCTGCCCTCGGAGGCAGGGAGGTGATTCCTCTGCCAGGCTCTGCAGGAGATCCAGGAGCAGTGGGGCTCTACAGACTCCCGGTGCTGCTGAGCCCATCCTTGTTCCCTCTGGCAGCCAATTCCTCACCCCAGGTTTTGGGGGTGCAGCTCCCCCAGTGCTCCACATCCAGCTCTGCTCCTTCCCTGCCTTGGGAGCCCTTGGGCTGTCGCTGTGTCCCAGTGCCTGCAGGGACAGTGCTGCCCCTGCCCAGGCTGTGGGACGGACAGTTCAGTGCCTCCCAGCTGGGGAGGGAAGGTTTGTTCTGTTTCTCCCTCTTTGCCACGTTTATCCCCAGTTTATCTTCACCCCTGGCTGCAGGGATGGAATGTCCCTGGAGCAGAGCTGGCTCTTGCCTCTTGCCTGTTCCTCACAGGCAGCTCCTGCTCCTTCCCAGCCTCCCACAGCCGTGGGCACACTGTGCTGTGTCCTGCTCTGCAGCTTTGGCTCCATCCTCCAGCCTTTCCCCATGGTCAGCCTAAACTGAGGCTGTTGGGGTGGGGGTGAGGGGGTGTCTGTGTCAAGGGATGTCCCTGGGAGGGTGGAACCACATCCAGCCCCACCATGGATGAGCTCAGAGCCAGTCCTGGCCCAGGGCTGCCATCACCTCCCCAGGCACCAGAGGTTTGGTTGGGTTGTACAGAACGATTGTAACCTGTAACTTTTTGTAATTGTTTTTAATAAAAGAGTGTTGACTAGATGCACATCCCTGAGTCTGGGACTGCTCTGCCTGCTGGTGGGTTGTGGAGGGGGGGGCTGGAGGCATCCTGGAGCTGGGAGGGGCTGGACAGGATTCTCAGGCTGGAGAAGTGGGTTCAACATGTCCAAGGTCCTGCAGGAGGGTCAGGGCAATCCCAGCCTGGGGACGAGCTCAGGGAGAGCAGCCCTG